AAAACAAGATTGTGCAACTCAAAAATGCGCAATCAGAAATGAAACCAATTAAATTATATCACAAGTCTGGCTCTGACTCAAGTCTATCCTTTTGCTGTATGAGTTATCCAGCTTTCCGTTCGATAGTTTCTAAGAAAAAGTTGGAACAGGAAGTCATGTTGGTACTGGTAAAGAAAGCCGGTGAGTCTTCTTCTTCCTGTCCTTCGACGATTGAAAGTCTTCTCTCTGAATATAAGGATCTGCAGAAAGAACCCACCGGAATTACTGAACGCACTATAAGAGATTATTCCGGGTACTAAAATTCCCAAGGGCCCTATCTATCGAATGTCTTCCAGGGAACTTGAGGAGTTAAAGAAGCAACTGCAGGACCTTACTGACAAGGGATGGATTCGCCCTAGTTCATCTCCTTATGGAGCACCTGTCTTGTTTGTGCCCAAAAAGGAAGGTGAATTGCGTCTATGTATTGACTATCGAGGGTTGAATGTCGTCACTGTCAAGAATGATGAACCACGCCCTCGCATCGACGATTTACTTGACCAACTACAGGGATGCAAGTACTTCAGTAAAATTGATCTGAAGTCCGGGTACCATCAGATCGAGTTGGAACCCGCAGATCAACACAAGAATGCCTTCCGGACCAGGTATGGCCATTATGAGTTTATGGTAATGCCCTTCGGATTGACTAATGCTCCTGCTACATTCCAACGGTCAATGAACGAGTTATTTCGTCAATGGTTGGATCAGTTCGTCATCGTCTATTTGGATGACATTCTCGTATATAGTAAAACATTAGAAAAACATGAGAAGCATCTTCGTCTGGTTTTGAGTAAGTTGCGAGAAGGCAACTTCAAAATCAACCCGAAGAAGTCTGAGTTCGCTAAGTCTGAAGTTTTATACTTAGGACATATAGTGAACCAAGATGGCCTCAGGCCTGAAGAAAAGAAAATATCAGCAATTAGAGACTGGCCACAACCTAAGTCTGTAACTGAGCTACGATCTTTTCTTGGCTCGGCAAGCTACTATAGGAAGTTTGTCAGGAACTTCTCATCGATCGCTGCACCAATGAGAAGATTGTTAAAGAAAGGAACGATCTGGTTGTGGGACATGGATTGTGAGTCCTCGTTCAAAAAGGTAAAGTACGCGCTGACTCATTACCCTGTTCTGAAAATTGTTGATCCATCTTTTCCCTTTATTGTCACCACTGATGCAAGTCAGTATGGGATTGGCGCAGTTCTTCAACAGAACGACGACAATGGTTTCAGACCAATTGAGTTTATGTCTGCACGATTGCCATCTGAAAAGGTTGTCAATTCTACTTATGAAAGGGAATTGTATGCGTTAGTTTGTGCCTTAGACACCTGGAAACACTATCTATTAGGGAGACACTTTACTGTGTACTCAGACCACTCTACCCTGAAGTGGATAAAGACACAGCCTAGGCTCTCTGGTAAACTAGTACGATGGTCTGCATTCATTAATACTTTTGATTTTGAGTTGAACACTATCAAAGGTAAGTCTAACGTGGTTGCAGATGCATTGTCTAGAAGATGTGATTTCTTTGGTGCCATTATCTCTTA